TTAATTACATTACTCATTGGAAATTTAACTCCAGGAGACCGAATGAAGATTATGACCATCTGCACCATTGACGTCCATGCTAGAGATGTTGTTGCCAAAATGATTACAGCAAAGGTATCCTGTGTTATGCAATACTAAGGACTGTGTAATCTTAGCTTGCTCATTGGTGCTGTGAAGGAAATATTTTTCCAGACTCATCACAAGCTGGTTTAATGTAGCAGAATGACTTTGATCATTCACTTGTCCTCCAAACACCATCCACCCTCATGTTACAGGAAACCATGCCAGATGCCAATAGTAGAAGGACCAAGCAACACAAAGCAGCTGTAGAAATAATTTGAATGCTCCTGTGATAATGAGACATCAGAGAGCAGTAAAATTTCCTATGTTCTTCTCTAAGAAAACATGCAGGAGATTCTAGCAGATAGGATATTGGAGAGATGTATGTGGTTGATAGGTGATGGTTCGGATTCTGATCTGAAAGTGAAATGATCATAACTTGTTGTGTCCTTAGAGCAGGGTGAGTAATCTTCTTGGGTTCACAAGTCTCCAGCTGCTGTCAAACCCTTCAGGGCTTTAAGAAGTGTGGTGGCTTTTTCCTGCAAAACTCCTATGAAATACTGTTTGAGAACAATCACTGTTTTGGCAATCAGCTTCTCTAAGTTGGCCAGTGCGTCAGCAGTTTAGGTTCCCTGATAGATTTCTATGTGATGCACATAATTATTATGAATGTGCTGGAGAAAAACATTTGGTTTTAAGATCTTTTGGGGGTGTCACTAAGTGTGGTGATAAACAAGTTAAGTAAAAAATAAATGGAAGCTAGGTAGTAAATACAGGCTGACCTCATATTGCTGAGGATAATAAGTTGCAGCCAGAGTAGGCCCATTGAATCCATTGAACTTAGAGAAGCTGACTTACCAAATCCCCACTGATTCAATGGGCCTGCTCTAATTGCAATTTCAGTACACTAAGCAGCAGAATTTCTGCCATGAGCTGTGGGATCTAAAGCAGAAGCCACTTGATTAGTGCTCATGATTAGAACAGTGGAATGGCTGATATTTAACCCCTAACAAAAGGAACCCTTGACATGTAAGAAGCCTATGGCAATTGAAAGGGTGAAGATAGTGAAATCTCAATGTATTTATTCTCTCATGTACTAAATGTGTGTGTTTTTCCTTTTGAACAATAGGTGGAAAGCTCCCAGGCTTTTACATGGCAGTCCCAACTTAGGCATCGATGGGATGAAGAAAAGAAGCACTGCTATGCCAATATCTGTGATGCTCAGCTCCAGTATTCCTACGAGTATCTTGGCAACACTCCACGGCTGGTGATCACCCCGCTCACTGACCGGTATGAGCCACGCAGCTTTGATGGCTGTCAGCCTGGCCCAGCATACATTTTTGAGGGTTACAATGATATACCAATGGCTCTGTGTTTTGCAGATGCTATATCACCCTGACCCAGTCCCTCCACTTAATCATGGGAGGAGCCCCTGCAGGCCCAGCTGGCACAGGAAAGACAGAGACCACCAAGGACTTGGGCAGGGCAGTAGGGATCATGGTGTATGTCTTCAACTGCTCTGAGCAAATGGACTACAAGGTAAAGGTCTGACTCGTGAATGCCACTGTGGTTTGTAGCTGAAGTCCTGATTCTGCCAACAGGAAGTTTTCCTGTTACTCTTATCAGTGCTGGCAGCTTATTGAGAAAGCAGTTTGAGAAAGAAAAACTGCCACAATCTCCTGCTCTTAGCATTTTAGAAGGCTCATCCCGAAACACCTATCTGCGCTCTTTCTAAGTCCACGCTTGGCAGTGACTAGGGTGGGATGAGCCCAAGGAGGTTTTCTGCTTTTAACAGAACAGCCAGTTTTGGAAAATGTAACAGAAATATTGATCATAGGCTGTCTTTGCCCTCTTCAAAATAGCCCTCCAAGCAGGAGTTCAACACATTCTTTTTTTAAAAATTAAAATTTTATTAGTTTTTCAGTCTATCTACATTCAGCTCATGCTTGTTAAACATCATGTTTCATGAGTTGCTTATAATTATTTGGTTTTGCATCTTGATGTCTTCTTAGTTGTCCCTTCAAAATCTATACATTTTTAACCATTGAACCAATTATATATTTTAGTGTACAATATTGGCTACTATTACAATAATATGACTCTCATAGTATACAATGTTCTGAAAAATCCTCTAATAAAGTACTTAACACAAGCAATTCTGGTTTCAAATCTATATAATTTTGAGGCAATTTAACTGACCAGCTTTGTATTTTATACCAATAATAACTAAATAGGTTCCTAACACATAATAAAGCATTTTATATAGATTTTCTTTATATAATTGTTTAGCCATTTCTATCTCCACATTTTCTGTCATGTCTATATCATATCTAATATATGCTAATTAAGTACTATTTGTTTACCTCTTATGTCTAGCTTCATTTTATCTTAAGAACCACCTTGTTATGCCTTAACCCTGATTAATGATCCCTTATTTCAGTTTGATTCCCTTTTCTAATATATAAGATATGTCCCCTTACAATTCCAGAAGTTAGGTGTATACATGTTTCAACATTGAAAACCGCCTTAATGTTTTTTACCTTTGCATCTTTCTAAGTAACTCCTTGTCTTATTTGTCTTTTCCCAATTCTTATTCCTCTCTCCCTAAAAATTATGCCATCCATTGTACCATCTGTGATCATTTTTTGCACTTGATCTATCTCCAATAGATATTCCAGGCTATTTTTAATTAAATCTACTCGTTCTTTCCCCTTATCTTCCCTTAGCACACTTAAGATTCCTCTTGGCTCCAGGGTTAGACAGATCTCCTAAATTTTCTCCTCTGATTCCTTCCAGCCCCTCCTTTGATTGGCATACATCATCCAACACCCTCTCATTTCCTTGTTCATTATTCCCTATCTCCTGTTGACTATAATTCTTCTTTAACTGCTCCTTAAATAATTTTGCCTCTTTATTGTGGGATCTCACTATTTCTAAAATTGCTTGAAGAGTAGATTTTGTACAATCCCAAAATTTTCCTTGTTGTGCCATTATGTCCCAATTGTATTCCAAGTGAAAGTTGTTCAGATGCTTAATCAGTCCAATTCCTTCAATACTTGCTTCCATAAGTCCATTTTAATAGACTGATCATTTTTAGGGTTAAGCTTGAATCCAGTCTCAGACGTAGAGGGTTATCCCCGCTTGGAGGCTGAAGGATACTTGCTCATCAATTAGTTCCCTCAATGTTTGTATTCATAGCTTAATGTCTTTTGTAATCCAGCCCCAGAAACAGTCCATTCCCATATTAATTCTATCCTGGCTGTGTTCCAGTCAAGTTCAAAACTCAGGATGCAGTTAAAAAAAAAAAACCCACTTTTGCAAAATTTAAGGTTAATTTGTCTATATTTCAGTCAGTCCTCAGAAAAAAAAAAGAAGTGGGAATCTCCATAGAGTCTTCAAGGTTCTTTGCTTTTTGCCAGTGCTGTAGATAGCTGTAGAAAGAAGTCGGAATCTCCATAGAGTCTTCAAGATTCTTTGCTTTTTGCCAATGCTGTAGATAGCTGTAGCCATAACATAACCAGTTTAACTCCAGAGTTCTTTAATTAATAATATGTTAGAAGAAAGATTTGTTAAGTGTCTAACACCAGAGTAGTACCAAACTCCCTTCCTTGAAGTATAATTAAATGTCTAATTAGTGTCCAATCTATTTTCTTTGCTTCTTTTTGTGTCTCTTACTCTCTCCAGATTCACCGCTGCTCTTTAACTGGTGAAATTAAGAGAGACTATTTCTGTTAAAGGAATTGTGTCATCCAGGGATAGTCATAAAACAGTATAGTTATAAATATTTCTCATCCCATGATAATGATGTTAATTAGCTGGTTTATCGCTTCTCAATTGCCAGCTGCCGATGCCTTGCAAACAAACTTTTCAGCTACTTGTTTCTGCCCGCCAGTTGATTGGGGAGTTTCCCAGCTCAAACAGGGGTAACTGCCATCACCACCCCCCGTGATCAACAGGTGACCCCCCCACTTAACCACCTCTTCAAGGTGGTTTTAACCCCCTGGGGGGTCCCAAACAGGTCAGAATTCAGCCTAGGGGATGGAGCTCCGTTCTCCTGCTGCTGCTTCAACTGAAGTCCAAGTTGGTAGTGAGTCCTACAACTCGAGTCCCCATCCCTGACATCAGTCAACCAAAGGCAGGCTTCTACAGTTAAACAGAGAAATCAGCACAGTTATGCTGATTGCAGGTTACGCAGAAGAAGAAGAAGAATGTTTAGAAAAACAAACCAGCCATTGCTGCGTGACCCCTACTCATGTGTTAAGGCATGGGTAGGAAGAGAGGGAAGGTTGCAAGGATGAGAGAAATGGAAACCACACCAGAAACAGAAGATGGACTGATATTTGGGAGTATGTTATTCAGAGAAGAGTGGAATCACATGGGATGTTTTAGAGTAGGAGAGTACATGTGTAGCCCAGAACCTCATCCTACCTCTGCTCAGTTATAGTTGGCCTTTATTGTGTCATCATATTGTTTATTTCCCAAATTCATCTCCCAACTGAATTCCATGCTTTGTAAAGTCTAATAAGGTATTAGTGTATCAAAGTAACATTCACAACACTTTCGTCTTTCCCAGCACCCAGCCATTGTTCCTTTCTAGATGAAGCCACAAATATAGGATATAGCTACACTTTCAGTCCAATTGCTTCATTTTGTTCTGTGTGAATATTTTTTCTGTGTGCCAAAACAATGTTTTTTCGCACAGTGGCAAGGTCACAAGCAACTGTGGGAACTCCTGGGTAGGCAGCACTGGAAGTTAGCTGTCTCCTGTCATTGCCTCTTGCACTGAATTGAAGGGGGGGAAAGCCTTCGTATTTTGCTCCAACTATTTAAAAACCATCTTTGTTTGGAAAGAGATCTCTTCAGGACTTTGTAAAATGTGCAGGGAACTGTCCTGATGTAGTTTCTAGATATTAATGCTAGGAAAAGCTAAAGGCAGTAGGAGAAAAGGAAGGCTTATCATGAGATGGATTGGCTCAATAAAGGAAGCCATGGCAGGCAGGAGTGTTAATAACAGGACCTTTTGCAGGGTGTTAATTCATTGATTCAGAAGAAACCACTTGAAGGCACATGATAACACTTGAGAAAACACATTTTTAATGAAGTAAGTGTAGGGTGAAGAGGGCATTTACAAAACTGAAATGCAGGAAACGGATTAAGCACCTACTCTTGCCTGCCAGCTCTCCCCTGTAAATGTCAGACACCCCTACATTAACACTAACAAGTGTTTGGTAACTTGGTCGCATGTTGTTCAATCCTGAGGGGGACACCACTCTTATTAGACTCAAGGACACTTAATGCATTTCATCCCTCTTTTAGACAATGCATTTGTAAATTGCATGGAGGTGAAAATGTAACCTCTCCAGAGAGAAAGTGTAAGAGGCAATTAGCCATAAATAGAGTGGTAAAATTATACTACATTCAGCTTTCCTACCACATTGTATACTTTAAGGATCACAAGTTATTTTTAGGGCGTTGCATGTTTTTCTATATACCAGAGCTGCAAATTATAGTAGACACAGCAAAAGTATCAAAGCCCACAGTGTCACTTTATTAATATTATTTTTACTGGCACACCTAATTGTACTTCTTCTTATGACATTCAGAACATCATAGGAAATAGTAGACTACTTGTTCCTTACAATAATTCCTCTTTTCCCCACCAGTTCTATATTCATGGTATTGTTTTTTTTTAAAAGTATATTAATACAGAGTGTTAATTCTCTGAAAGGTGTGAGGGAATATTTTGATGAATTTAACCAAATTTCAGTCAAAGTCTTGCCAGTAACTGCCATGCAAGTATTAATCCTCCATATCTGTCTTGCTATATTGGGTGTTGGGGCTACTTAGTGTTGTGTACTAGGTAGAGTGATGGTTGAGGATTTAGGATACCTGGATTTGAATCCAAACCCAGCCCTGGTAACTCACTGAGGAGGTGGCACTGGAAAAAAAGTTCCTTAAAATTTCACCTACCTTGAAAACCCTGTTAGGAGCACTACAAGTCAGATGCATCTTGACAGCACATGACATAAAATTATTCAATGTGAGGTTTCTTTTAAATGGTTGTCTACATTTTTCTTTTTTTAGTCCTGTGGAAATATCTACAAGGGGCTGGCCCAGACAGGTGCATGGGGGTGTTTCGATGAATTTAATCGGATTTCAGTCGAAGTCCTGTCGGTAATTGCAGTACAGGTAACAATTCTCCAGATATCTGTTCAACTATATATGATGTTAGTAATGCTCTCAAATTTAGCCTTGCAATAAAATGCTTGCTTTTTTCTCTAAAGTTAAAACAATCCCTTGGGAAAAGTGGGTTGGATCCACAGATCTTCTGAGCTAAGATCTACTTGCTAAACATTGCTGGAAACAGGAAACTGTGTCAGTTTTTCCCAATTCCCCCTTTCTTGAGTCCCTTGCAAGTTGGTACAGAAGAGATGCAGAACCTTCTAGAATAGCAATGGAAATGGTATAGGCAGTTCCAGGGAAGAGGATGCACCAGCAAAAATAATTTCTTCTTGCACCGAAACATCCCATTTTGCAGAACCCTATGTTGGATTGCAGCTCCTTCTGTGAAGAACTCCATGGGATCCAGGACGAAGATCCCAATCAGAACTTTTTTAAAAGACTCAAAGCCTAGGAGTTCAGTTTCATTTGAGAGATGTTTTAGATCTCTTTCCAATTCCAATGCCACAGGAGAAACTGGGAAATTTATGTATAGGGCCACTACCCCCAATGGCCATTTTGGCTAGGGGATCCTGGGAATTCTAGTTTGAAAAAAGTAGTAACTTCTAAACTTGAGCTACTACATGGATTGGGCTCCCATATGCAAAGCCAAGGGCTATTGCCCCAAGGGTCCTCCTTTTAAAAATGGCTTATTTAGTTTTAAATCCAGAGCACAGGCACACATCCTGCCTTCTCCCTGGTACCCTGATCTGATTCCTCATATTAATGTCTCTTCCCTGCCCATGCCTTGCTGCTTAATAGACTCAATGCTGTAAACACACAGTGGAAAATGTGTAGATTTGTCTCCTCCTCTTCAGTGGCATGCTGTGTACCCCTTCTGCTTTGCTTGAGCAGTGCTGCATCCAGAAAATCCTGGTGATTATAATGGGGCTCCTTGGCAAGTAGCTGATTCTGCCTTGCTTGTGTTGTAATTAGACCCATCTCTCTATTTAGCAACAAAGCTGTAACTACAGCTTATCTGGAGTGTCGAGTTGTTTGTCATAAATTAAATAAACTTTATATCTAAGAAGTATAAATTGTTTAAAGAATTAGATAATTTCAAACTTTATCATGTGGGGGACTACAGATTGCCTCAGGATATTGGCTGTAGATCTGTGCTGAATATTTAGAAGTAAAGTTTTAAGGAAGAGGGAATTGTGCTGAAGGAGGGCACTCAAACTGCCTTGAACACCTCACCTCGCCCTTATATTTTACTGCCTCTATTCGCCCCCATCTTTTATTGCTGTTCAAATTTGAAGGGCATTATCATTTTTTAAAACCACGGTTGCATCATTACTGATCATATGATCCAGACAATAGGGTACCATGTAGTCAGTGTGCTATGTAAATGCTACAAAAAAATGATGTATTGGCATCAGATTTGGAAACATGAATTTATCACCAAGCCCATTCTGAGTGATGGTGCGTAATGCCATTCTCATTTTAATTGGCTTCATGATGATCAAATATGAAATCAGGCACAGATCTGGCAATGCAGCAACTTTAAAAAGTGCATTTAGAGTGAGAAAATGCTTTCTGCACTCTCTGAATAGGTGAACTTTTCCAAGGTTCCTTGTAGATGAACCATAGAAAATTGTTTAAAGGGGGCGGCGAGCACTCTGCTTTTTCTCATTGAACCATAAGGAGCTAAAATGAGGATTTTATGACAACTTTTGCAAAACTACTGTCTAATCCGCACACCATTTTATTCAGCTTCTGCCTAACATAGATGATCCTGGAAAATTTTAATGTATCCTTATCTCCAAAGTATTGAAGTCTCAAAATATTCTTTAGTTCACTACCCATCTTAAGTGTTATTGCAACTGCAAATGGTAAAGAAAATGAATGTTTTCATGTACATTTGCATTCAAGTATTCTTCAGCTGCACATTGATATTTGTTTCATGTAAGTAAACCGTAGGAAATTCCTTTCATTGTTTAGGTTAAATGTGTTCAAGATGCAATTCGAGCTAAAAAGAAGGTGTTCAACTTCCTTGGAGAAATGATCTCTCTTATACCAACTGTTGGGATGTTTATTACTATGAATCCTGGATATGCAGGTCGTACTGAACTACCTGAAAATTTGAAAGCCTTGTTCAGGTATTTATAAACAGATAGATTGCTGTTTCCGCAGCACAGTCACCTCAGGTGTTCAGTGTCTCAACAATCCTCTTTAAGTCCTTATGACCTTAGGGACAGACCAAATGTAAAAATTCAATTTCTCAAGATATTTGTTTTGTTTTCTTTTTGTTGTTGTTTTTGTTGCTGCTGCTGCTACTGTTGTTGTACTACCCTATCTTCACCTTCCCTCCTTTATTCACAAATTAGTACTCTTTGTTTTGTGTTGGAGAGATATTAGCCTTTTAAAAGAAAAACCTTCCAGCATGATAGGACAATCTTGTTATGGGTATTCCCAGAATGTCGTTTAGTCTTCATAAGTCAAGCTTGATATTGTGACTCAGGTACCCTGAAGGGAGAGGAACTAACAAGAGGGCAAGGTCTGATCCAGTCATCCTCATGTTTTCCTTCCCTTTCTGTTTCTTTGAAAACATTTATTTACCTATTTACTTTTATTGGAGGAATCAGATTGGTGCCATTTATCTCAGCCTTTTGAGATCTGAACTGCTTTTCTTTGAAGGAGGTAGAATAAACTATCTGCCCTGCAGTGTTTAGTGTTGTGTTACATTTATTTTACACACACAGCAAGCACATGAATTTGATTATAGTGTGACAAAGGCAGAGACAGTGTGAGGACTTCTCAGAAAGGAGGGAGATAAGTTCTCAGCCAGCATGTTCATGGAAAGAAAGAAAGAGAGAGAGAGAGAGAGAGAGAGAAAGAGAGAGAAAGAGAAAGAGAGAAAGAGGGAGAGAAAGAGAGAAAGAGGGAGAGAGGAGAGAAAAAAGGAGAGGAAAGGAATCTGCTGATAATTCCCTTCCCCAGAAATAAAATCCCCCCCAAGTGGTTTCTGAATTTATCTGTGAGATAAGTTCACACATCCATGCACTATTGCTGGCACATGGACCAATAAGAAGGTATAGTTGTGAAAATGCAGGGACAAGGATCAAAATACTTGGTATTTTTAAAAACCAAACCCAAGATCAGCTACAGTATTAAAAAAAAATTAAGCAATGCAACCAGGACAGAACTGTGTGGACGTGAAAGGCAATAGAAAATATTTAAAAAGCAAATGCATTGTTTTTTTATTTTTTGTTTAACTATAACATAAACATAAATATAAAATACATAAATCAAAATACAAATTAACTGTGTTCCCTACCACCATAAAGAAAGGGGGGGAAATGAAAGAATGAATGAATCTGCTGATAATTCCCTTCCCCAGAAATAAAATCCCCCCCCCCAAATGGTTTATGAATTTATCTGCCATGCACACTATTGCTGGCACATGGACCAATAAGAAGGTATAATTGCGAAAATACAGGGACAAGGATCAAAATACTTGGTATTTTAAAAAACCAAACCCAAGACCAGCTATTAAAAAAAAAAGGATAAGCAATGCAACCAGGGAAGAACCGTGTGGACGTGAAAGGCAATAGAAAATATTTAAAAAGCAAATGCATTGTTTTTTTATTTTTTGTTTAACTATAACATAAACATAAATATAAAATACATAAATCAAAATACAAATTAACTGTGTTCCCTACCACCATAAAATGCATGATTTTTTAAAAGAAGTGAATATATATAGCCCTGCCTTTTAATACTTGGACCTTTAATTATTCTTTTGCCTAAAATGCAAGAATGCCAACTGCAGCCTTGGAGAGCCAATGGGGGAGCTTTCAGGGCATGAGCAAACCTAATTGGGAAGTTTTTGAATGTGAGCTTTTGAAACATAATCATATCTGACATTTACAATGAATACTCACGGAAGCCTAAGGAACAGACTGACTATTGCTTCTATGGTGTAACTGTTGCAGATGTTAACTGTCTTATGTGTCCTCTTTTAGGCCCTGTGCCATGGTGGTTCCTGATTTTGAGCTTATCTGTGAGATCATGCTGGTTGCTGAAGGTTTCATTGAAGCCAGGCTTCTAGCTAGGAAGTTTATCACCCTCTACACGCTGTGTAAGGAACTGCTTTCAAAGCAGGTAATTTGGATCTTGTTCCTCAGGTCTATCAGACATTAAGCCCTGTTCAGATGATATTCAACGGAGTGTGGTGATCATTGTTTAAGTGGCATGCATGTCCTTGCCTCCCTCTCTCATTATAGTCTTCATGGCTATAGGTCTGGGTCTGCTCACAGAGAAGTTCCTGCTCGTGTGTAGGAATGTGAGGAATCTTGGTTCTCACATGCATAGAGATCCTATATGGAAGCAAGCCTTTCAGATCCAGATGTTAGAGGGAGGAAGGGTTTAGGGCCTTCCCTCAAAGTCATAAGCTAAATAACCTCTGAATTGTGTTATGGAATACAGCAAAGAAGAATTTTAAGAACATCGTGGAAGATTTCAAAGAATTGGCTACATTAGGGTGTGACTAGATGACCAAATTATCCTGGCCTAGACTGGGCAAAATAGGGTTGCTTTGATGCATGGTATGCCGTTTGGGGCAACCTTTGCATCCACATGCAAGGATTACGTGGTTTCAGGGCAAGAAGCCACGCTGCACCTCAGGTGACCCTATAGCCCGTTCTTCCCTTTAAAGGGAAAGGGAAAAAATAGCAAAAAGATGCCTATCTCTGTCCTCTCCTGTCTTCCCTTCCACAAGGAAGCAAGGGAAATCTGTACAATGTTTTGGATTTATTTCTGGCATGGCACTGGATTGACTTGCCAATCAACCTGTTCATTGCTGGATTATAAAGGATTTAGGAACAAACAAAGTCCATATCCATCTTCTCTTGTCTCCCCCTGTGCTTTAAATAAAGCTTTATATTTATTACGTGGTTAGATTCTGTAACAGTTTAAGCAAGCTGACAGCTAAGTGATCTATTTGGTTTGTTATCATAACAAAACAAAACAAAACAAAACAGAGCAACTCCATATCCATCTTCTCTTGTCTTCCCCTGTGCTTTAAATAAAGCCTTATATTTATTACATGGTTAGATTCTGTAACAGTTTAAGCAAGGTGACAGCTAAGTGATCTACTTGGTTTGATATCATAACAAAACAAAACAAAACAGAGCAACCCTACAGAGCACTAAAACAGTAAAAGCCTCTACTAGGGATCCAACAAGGGACACATAGGCATGGATAAGGATTGGACTGGTTCACAATTGCCCTTATGTCATGGGGTTACTGGAGAATGGAGCAAACCAGCCCATTCCCAAAGCAGACCAAACTGTGGGACAAAGCACCATCAAATCACACCCTTAGTTTGTGCAACCATATTATGTCTGAAGAGGTGCATTTGAGCCTTCCAGAGTTTTTAGCCTCCAGTCTTCTTTTCCCCTTGGTATTCCTGTGCCTGCTCTGCCCGCTTTCTTCCATCCTACATTGTCTGCCAGAAAAAAGGTAGTGGGGACGTGGCGGGTTGTGTGAATACACAGATTACTCAAAGAACCACAGTTCCAGGAGGTGGGTAACTGTCCTTTTTGATTTTGTTTGACATATTAGGAGATACACTTCGTAGTCATTTGAACAATGTAACTGTGATACTCATCACCCCAATATGTTCTTGGTCTGAAATTCCCTCTTAATGCCAAAAATATACAGTAATGAAAAGCTAATAGTGAGTGTAACCTTAGACTATTCATCACAGTATTTCCCTTTGAAGGCAAAAAACAAGACTTTATGAGAGGCCATTGTGAGTGCCATTCATCTTTTTGAGAACAGAAAGCATCCATGCATTTGTTTGCCTCCCAGTCATATCCTTTTTTTTCCTTTGCACACTAAAATAGTCCCTCCTTCCTGACAGGATCACTACGACTGGGGGTTGAGAGCTATCAAGTCTGTATTAGTGGTGGCTGGTTCGCTGAAGAGAGGAGACCCTGGCCGGGCTGAGGACCAAGTGCTCATGAGAGCTTTGAGAGATTTTAACATCCCCAAGATTGTGACAGATGACTTGCCAGTGTTTATGGGACTAATTGGAGACCTTTTCCCAGCACTTGATGTACCAAGGAAGCGTGATCTGAACTTTGAGAAGGTGAGTTTGCTTATGTTTTTTTAAAAATGCAGATTAATGAGGTAAATAGTATAGAATGTATTGGCGCACAATTGATATGGACCCAAGATAGATTTATCTGCTTATCCATCCGGAACTTTCACACAAGTCTTGTTTTTTTTTTTCCTTCAGATTATCAAACAGGCTGTGCTTGAGCTCAAGCTTCAGCCTGAGGAGAGTTTTGTGCTGAAGGTGGTCCAGTTGGAAGAGTTACTTCAAGTCCGGCATTCCGTGTTTGTGATTGGAAATGCAGGCTGTGGCAAGTCCCAGGTGGGAGCTGTGTGCCAGAGTTTAGGATCACAGAGCTAAGGGTGCCATTTTGTTATACCCATTATCGTTAGCAGGACATAACTGGACAGTCTGAAATGTGTTGTTGTTTTTTTAATTTTAGAGGCTGTTTCTATTCGGAGTGACACATTGCTTGTTTTGGCACTCACCTCAGCTGTTGACTGACTCATTGATTGGTATCTAGTAGCTAAGACGGACGAAACACTCACCCCATTTTTCCTGGCAGGTACTGAAATCGCTGAATAAAACATACCAGCTCATGAAAAGAAAACCAGTAGCCATTGACCTTGACCCAAAAGCTGTAACCTGTGATGAGTTGTTTGGCGTTATCAATCCAGCTACTAGAGAATGGAAAGATGGTAAGAAAAAGTGCAGGTGCTTTCCAAAAAATATATCCGACCTACACTTACAGTAAGAACATTTGCCGTCAGATAGTCTCTTATAGAAATTGTGGCAGTAGAAAAACCCAGACAACAGTACAGAACTTTTCAAAGGGATACATTAGTGTAGGAATAAATTAATGTAGAATGATTATTTCTTGGCTGTTTTGTAGAACAGTGCAATTCAAATTGTGAGTTTTTCTTTCTGGGAATTATCAATAGCATTATTAAGATTTTACTTGAGAATGTGCATGACATTTTCACAAGAAAAATTAAAAAGTACAATAATATTCTCTTACCACCACTGGGACTTTTTGAGAGGCTAGAGATATTTTAATATAGTGAAATATCAGGATCTGAAATTATTATGCAATTTTTTTTGGCTGGAATTCTATGCATACCTAAGTGGGAGTAAGTCTGTTTGAGTTCAGTGGGGCTTACTTCTGGATAGACATGCTCTTAAGCATTTTTCAGAAATCTAGATTTAAAATTGTTGGCCAGAATTCTACTTAGATCACTCAACAAAAACCAGAAATTGGGTAATCAGTGTCCATGATCATCATACTACCAGTTTGCCGTGTGTGGTGACATGCCCCAGTTACGTGCTCAGTTGCACGCTCAGCCATATGCCCAGGCACACAATAAGTAGCTACATAATTATGAAAACTGCTTGCAGGATCTCCTATATACATGTGATGTTCTGCAATACGTCTTTGGATGTTGCATACATAAGATTATAAATTGCTTTTGATTTCCTCACTTGATGTTTGAACAAGGTTCAGCAAGAAAAAACTGAGCAAGAAAATATTGCATTTTTTCTTGGAAGTTATTCTTAGGTTTTTAACATCTCTGGCATAAAACACCTCATTAGCAAAGAAGATGCCAATAACGTAACATGAGAATGGCTCCAATTAAACCTTAGTGTCTCTTCTAGTTATTTCAAATAACCAAGTTTGATAGTGTAAGCTCTTCTACCAACAATACCTCTGTCTATATACTGTATACTATAACTCAGATCCAGATTACACAGATCATTCGCCCCACTCAGCATTAACCTTATTTGAACCACTTGGTGTATCTTTCTTACCAGGATAAATTGTACTTCGTTGCACTTCTGTATGCACATGTTTGTTGTATGTTGTTGTTGTTGCATGCTGTCAAGTTGCCATGCATGAACAAACTCCAATGTGTCCTGTCCTCAAGTGTCCTGCTTAGTTTATGCAAACTCAAGCCTGCGACTTCCTTTAGGGAGTTGTATATGTTGTACACCCAGTCTGCCTCTAGCTGCCTTTTTTCTGTACATTTATGTACAGCGACTAAAACACACATTCTGTTCCGAACAGGCTTGTTTTCGACTATCATGCGTGATCTGGCTAACATAACACACAAAGGGCCCAAATGGATTGTTCTGGATGGAGATATAGATCCGATGTGGATTGAGTCCCTGAATACTGTGATGGATGACAACAAGGTTGGTACAGCGAGCCGGAGGTTTGAGTGTTAGCCTCCAGTTCCACAAGAGGAGGCAATGGCATAGTGTTTACCTGTTTCCCTCATAGGTCCTCACCTTAGCAAGCAATGAGCGGATTCCACTCAACCCCACCATGAGGCTTGTGTTCGAGATCAGCCACCTCAGAACAGCAACACCTGCCACAGTGTCCAGAGCAGGAATCTTATACATCAACCCTGCTGATCTTGGCTGGAATCCGTGAGTATCAGTTCTCTTTCCAGTGTATCCTCCAGTGAAGAAGTGCATGCTGCTTTGCGACTGGAAAGGAAAAGCTTTCCTCCCTGCACAATTCTGCTTTGGCAAGGGCAGATGATGCTTGCATTTAGCAAAATTTAGCATTTAGCAAATGTAGGGGAGAGCCTGCCCAATTGCCACCCCCCCCGCAAGCTCAATTCCCCTGATCGCCCCTCCGCCAGCCTACCACCTTGCTCTCCTACCTGATCACCCACATGCACACCTAAACAGTAGGGGAGAGCCTGGCCAATTGCCACCACCCCCCGCAAGCTCAATTCCCCACGCCAGCCTGATCGCCCCTCCGCCAGCCTGCCACCTTGCTCTCCTACCTGATCACCCACATGCACACCTAAACACACTGCCGCCAGACCAAAAGCCCTCCTGCCAGCCTGCCACCTCAGCAGACTGACCGATCACCCCTCGTCCTCTCAGTCTCCTCCTGCCCCCTCAATCACTGGCTGCCCCCCTCAATTGCCCCACACACACCAGCCTGATCTCTCCCTGTCAAACCCCCACACACACACCTGTGGCTGACCATGTTTTTACAGGTGGTGCTAGCGGTGGCTGTGGAAAAGGTGAGGACGCACACGCCAAGTCCAAACTTTTGGATTTAGGCTAAACAGCCTGACCTCTCCCTGTCACCCCCCACCTGTGACTGACCTTGTTTTTACAGGTGGTGCTAGCGGTGGCTGTGGAAAAGGTGAGGACGCACACACCAAGTCCAAACTTTTGGATTTAGGCTAAATAAAGTCCCCGTGACTTTAGCCTGACTTCAAAAGAAGTCAGGCTAGAGTGGTCTTAAGTGACTAGATAGGCGGGATATAAAACAAGCAAGCAAGCAAGCAAGCAAGCAAGCAAACAAACAAACAAACAAACAAACAAACAAACAAACAAACCAAAAGAAATAATCCCTCCGCCAGTTTATTCAGTTAGTGGGGTGAGGCACTCAAACCTGTTTTCCCATGCCAAGAGCTTTGCAGTCCTTTGTCACAATCCCACACCTTCATGCTCTAAATAGGGAAGCAATGATGAAAGATGATAACTTACTATGGACTATCCAGTTATTAATGAGGATTTAATCCTGGGACTAAATTCCACGCTTAAGCTGCAAGATCAGTACCAATTGTTTTTATCTGATGACGTGACCTGCAGTCTATGAATGGTTATGCCAAATATAGCCTGTTAGTCTTCCAGGTGCCACAAGCCTCTTTGTTGTTATTTCCAGGCAATTTTTTCAACTTTTCAAGCATGTTATATCTTGTTTTACCAAATAAAGAACTGCTAAGGCCCTGCTTTACCACAGAAAAATTCAGTAAGGTGATTTATGCATTGGAAACTAGAACCCATTATTCATTATGATCTCTGGAATGCTTAACACCTAAGTCACACTCCTCATGTACTGTTGTAATCTGCTGAACAGTATGAAGTGTTTTTTTCATAACAGATAAATAAGAAAACAATCCTCCTATATTTTAAGTTAAATTACTGTAAAAATGATGTAATACAAACAGGAGTAAGGGAGAATGAGATGATATTGTTGTAAATTTTGATTCAGATTGCTAAATCTGTGGGAAGCTCTCTTAGGATATCTCTTAGCAAGCAGAGTAAAGACTAACAGGGTTCCTGTGAGCTTTCAAACTCATGTTATTGTTCTGTTCTCTGGAGCAATAAACTAGGCAGAAGGTTAAGCTCAAACACAGTTACTAGGTTTATTCAGAAAAAACATTTTATTTTAAAAAGCCAGTCTTAAACTTGGGAAAAGACTATGTCTCAAGGTCTGAGCACGTGACCCAGAGTGCAGGGGTTTCATTCACTATCAAGAAAGAGATGTTCCCATCTTGAGGATTAGAAAGGACTGAGAGGAAGAGGCAGGAAGTAGTGAATCTTTAACTTTATAGGAGGGGCAATAGGACAGTGAGAGATAGTCCGTGAAAGGAATACCTGTAGTTGCAGCCCATTATTCCTTCCAGGATGCCCCATTGGACATCCTTGGGAAGAAGGGAAAAAGAGGTGATTTTTATGGAAGATTCTTCCAACAGATATGAGGAATTACATCTCAAATAAAATGCAAAGTGTACCAAGCATGAGAATGTGCTACATATTCAAAAACTCATTAAAAAAATTTAATCTACAGGGTGGTGAGCAGCTGGATTGAGCGTCGGGAAGTGCAATCTGAGAAAGCCAATTTGATGATCCTGTTTGACAAGTACTTGCCCACGTGTTTGGACAAGCTGAAATTCGGGTTCAAAAAGATCACTCCTGTACCTGAAGTGACTGTGGTGCAAACCATCTTGTATCTGCTGGAATGTCTTCTGACCCCAACCAACACCCCACCAGATTCACCCAAGGAGCTTTATGAACTCTACTTTGTGTTTGCTTGCTTCTGGGCATTTGGAGGAGCCATGTTCCAAGACCAGGTGCCTTTAGAAATTTAATTAACCATCTTCTGCTTCATCCACAACTGGATGTGGATGGTGTTTGGAGTGGGTGGGGATGGGAGTTCACCCAGAATAGTGGGTGCCACTAAGTAGGGCAGTATACAAGTTAAACAAACAAACAAACAACACCATAACAGTTCACAACATGGTATTAGCTAAATTAAAGGGGGGGGGAACCAAAGAGCATTATGCTCACAAAAAGCATTTTTCTCTAGCCGTTTCTCAAAGAGTAGTTCAGTGCAGGAATGACATCAAAGATCATTTCCTCAGTACCCAGAGTCCATGTTCCTGCAGTAACGCCTGAATCCTCTTATGTATTTGACTGAATTGTGTAACATAAATGCACATTTTCATCAGGGCTAAGACATTAGGATGAAAGAAGGTACTGTATCATAGGACCACAGCCAGGTACAGCCTCAGCCATGTCAGTGTGTTTTTTGTTAGCCTGCCTCTCTGCATGAAAATATTATTTTACCATCTCTCTTAAGGGCAGGCCACACAAATGTGTATTTCGTCCTCTTATAAACATATCCTTCCAGTAAGGCAAGTTTTTCAGTGCTGTGTGCCAGAGATATCAGATATGCAAACAAAGCTGTGTTATTTTCCAATTGGCCAATTGCAAAACAAAAGCAGACTAATTTGCTAAATGCAGATTGACTCAAGCTGGTGTTAGGACAAACCAACAATCTTTTCTTCTTAAGAAAAGCTATCCAGAGGTAGATGCTTTCCTCAGATCTGCTTCTTGTGATGAAATCAGTGTCTTGTTTGATACAGTTCAGTGTGGCTGCATGTGGATTTTTTTTAGATCTGGCATCTCCTGTGGATGACTAAGAATTAAATAATCTGGCCTTTCTAACTTAATAGAAAAGCCACATTAAATATTTTTCCTCCTTCTCCCTAGCTTGTGGACTATCGTGTGGAATTCAGCAAATGGTGGGTGAATGAATTCAAAACCATCAAGTTTCCTTCTCAGGGAACTATTTTTGACTATTATATTGACCCAGAGACAAAGAAGTTCATGCCTTGGACTGATAAAGTGCCATCCTTTGAGTTGGATCCAGATGTTCCACTGCAGGTAGTTGCCAGAAATAAATTTTCTTTTGTGTCTATCACATTTATTTTAGATATAAAGCCGCCTAGAGTGGTCTGGTAGTCCAGATGTAAATCAAATCAAATCAATCAATCAATCAATCAATCAATCAATCAATCAATCAATCAATCAATCAATCAATCAATCAATCAATCAATCAATATTTATTCAAGCACTTATAGCCCACCCTATATCACAGAATGTCAAGGTGGGCTACAAAATTATAAAACAATATTAAGAGAGAAGATATTTAAAACACTTTAAAATGAAATAGCAAAACATTCAAACATTCCACTAATTATGTGGGTCATAATCTTCAACCCCCAACGGCTCTAATAAATAAGTAAATTTTGATGTTGAAATGATGCCAGTGTTGGTGCCAATCAAGCCTCCAAGTGAAAGGCATTCCACTGTTGGGCTAATATGCGGTGTGTGTGGGGGAAAACATGGCCCCACATAACCAACTGTTCTCAATGGTGGGACATGGAGGTGGGCCTCCCAAGCAGATCTCAGTGATCAAGCAGTTTTATATACCCACTTCCTTGCAGTACCAAAAAACTGAGAATCCAGCACTGGGAAAAGTTTCCTTATTTACTCAATATGCCAATTAAGCCCCAAGAACACATGTTGTGCTATGACAGCATTTTATTTATGTGTTGCTGTTTGCTTTGAGTTGAAAAGATACTTCCTTTTTCCATATGGTCATATTTGAGGCCAGTTTCCATGTCTATTGAGGCATGCCTCAGAGGGTTCAAATCCTCATTCACCTCAGAAACAGGGAGGCCTTGTCCCCCTCAGCTATCTCTCAGTCTCACCCACCTCACAGAGGATGGGAGGAGGATGCTGTGTTTGCCAGTCTGAGCTCTTTGAACAAAGGGTTGGTTATCAAAGAAATAATAATAATAATTTTTAAAAATTGCAATCCATGGCTACAAATCATGCGTATTCAGCACCACAGGGAGGGTTTAGTTTTTGGTACAGCAGCAGTGCAGACTTCACACTTCCTCGCACAGTCCTCATAAATCAAACACCTATGGACTCAAAGGTTGAAAGATGGAGAGTATTTCATGGGGAGGCGGACGCCATTGCATCCTGTTGTGAGTTTTCAGAGATCTTGCATGTCATGCTGGTGGGCTGAAGACTTATGCTTTTGAGCTGTGGTTCCCAACCCATGGTGTTCTTTGACTGCAACTCTCAGAAACCCTGATCAGCACCAAGAATCCCTTGGCTCTTGCATTGCTTCAAAATCATGACTAAGCACATGCTAGAAAATTAACTGACTATGGCTAGGCTTATCAGCAGACACCAACAAACATTTTAAGGATTTGAGTTTTACGACAATGTTAGGAACTGTTTTCCTGCAGTGGAGCTGGATAGACATAGAGTAGGCAAGTTCCTCTTACTCACTCCGGAGAGAGGTCCTTCAAATCTGAGCGGTCTTTCCCAGACTGAGAACATCTTCCCCAGGTTCTGGACATGCCTAGCTCCAGAGTGCAGGTGTTGTAAATGAATGCTCCGCTCTTCTTTATTTTGGCATTTTCTGACCTGCATTTTTGGCCATTTTTCTGTCGTTCTGCTCCCAGACCTCAGGAATCCAAATAACACTCTGCAGCTTTGAGAGCAACCCTCCTTTCCCCAGCTCCAAATGTTTGTGGAATGGGGTGGGGGTAGGGGGGGAGTTTCATTAGGATCATAACATGGGGTGTGAAGAGATTAAATGTCCTTCCACTAGTCATTTGTGATTAAGACAACTGGAAAAGGTGCTACACGTACAGGGATGGCCTGGTTGCCAGATGGTGCGGGATATAAATTTAAAGGATGGGCAGTACATTATGTGACCTGCTATAGAAATGGATGCAATTCCTGATGTTGCGTATTCTAGACACCACTAACCCTACCCAGGCCCACTATTTTATCCACTCTGCAAGGGATATGTGAGACAGCTCACATATGAGCTGTTTGACCAATGAAACTAGATCAGAAACTGCAGCCTTGGGGTTATGATTTTGGGAAGGGAGCAGGGAGAAAAGAAACAGATTTTTATAAATATTATTTCAAAAGGGGAGGATTCAAACAACAAAGCTGATTTCCTAGTGAAAGGAACAAATGATTAAAATAGCCGAAGAAATCTGTGTGGGTTATAACCAGCCAGAGAGCTATTTAATAGTTGTGTACCAAATCATTTATATCTAGGAAAACTGCTCAATGTAGGTGTGAGAGTGTGTAAGTGTGAGTGTTAAGCAGAATGTTTGGGCTCTGGGAGGGGGGGGAAAGGAGGAAGGGGGAAATGCTGAAGTATGTTATGTGGATGACCTGTAAAAATTTGTGAACAAACCATGTTCAGTAATGACCCAACCACCTATAGATAATAAATGGAAGACAATTACCATAATCATTTCTTAGGCAACCTGTCCCAAGGATTATTTTACCTCCCTTGTTAAAATGATGTTTCTTGTGTCTAATATAAAGTTGTACAATCTGAGTTTATAAATATGCAATTCTGGCTGTCCACAAATTTTAAAGGATGGTTTTAGGAATGCTTTTACTTTTCACCTGTCTTAGATTACCTACTGCCCTTTTTCAAGCCATATAAACATTATTTTCTCATCTTCAGAGATCTGAAAGCAAAATGCAGGAATACAATGTTATTTAATTTAAAAATGAAATTTAAAATATAAAACTATTTAAAGCTATTAACATTTTTCATTTGAAATTATTTCACATAACTTATGAAGTTTGCATTTTTGAATTATGTTTTCACATGAGGGTTGTGTGTTTTTTTTTTAAGGCCTCAATGGTCCATACAACAGAAACCATCCGAATTCGATATTTCATGGACCTACTAATGGAAAAGAAATGGCCTGTGATGCTGGTGGGGAATGCAGGCACTGGGAAATCGGTGCTAATGGTGGATAAGCTTGATACCTTAAACACAGATGATTACATGGTACAATCTGTCCCCTTTAACTTCTATACAACTTCAGCAATGCTGCAAGGTAAAGAAATAAAATGCATCTAAATGGTGTAATAGTTTGTAACAATTAAGAGGCAACAGTGGCCGAAATCCTATTGTGTTTTTACATTGGTCCAACACAATTTATACTGATTATGTTGCACTGGTCAGTATAACAAATAAGTTTTTCTCCAGTAAATAAAAGAGAATGGTAAAAAGCATTGATTATAGAAGATACTCATGGCTTTTCTGGTCAGTTTCCAGAGGAGAAATATGCTGATCTATTGCAACAGAAACAGGAAAGAGCCTTCTTGTGCATTAACACTTACATAATAGTACTGTAAAAGGTACAATAGCTGGCTGCATAGCTCAGTGGTGGAGCCAGAGGTTGGGAGTTTGATTCCCCTGTGTATTCTCCACCTAGAAAACCCATAAATCAGAATTGGCTTGATGGCATTCAATTACTATTATAAGCTACCAAGTCAACCCATAAATTCATAATACAATAATTGTACAGGCATTGGATGTAGTTTCATTTATTTAGCATGCAAATGGATTTCTGTTCAGTGAGCAAGGAAGCTGACTTTTAAAAAAAAATGCAAATAATAACAAAAAGACAGAATTTCTTTTTATTTTTATTTGCATTTTTAAAGAAAGATTTTTAAAAACAGAAGTATAAAATAAGTAAAACTCTTGTTGCAATGTAGCCTGAAGAACCGAAGAGTAACAATATTGTCTTAGGAGATATCTATTAAGGAAAAATGATAAAATCTTCCAATGGGAACAGTTTCACGGCTTGAGTGCTGCTTACACAAACCACCCTCTTCAAGTAATCACCACTCTTGCCTCTGGTGGAACTTGTAACAGAGCCTGAGATGACTTTTTCTACAAGAACACTTGACATTGAAGAGATCTTCCCAGCGTTTGACCTGTCCTGTATTTTTAAGAGGGAAATGAAATTCTTTCCTCTTCCAACTGGATCATATTAGTATTTATTATCTTATCTTATATCTGAAATAGAATCATGGCATTGTTGAAAGTACCTACCGATCATATGGAGCTGACAATGTTCATACTTACAAAATCTTAACTTCATGTTTCTGAAATGTTATGGACATGATGGCAGCAGTCTTGTCACTTGCCTCACCTTGCATGGAAACAATAGCCATTTGCACACAACACATCCAAGTTAAGTGAACGTATATGGTGGTAGCGTCACAACAGCAGGCCTATTCCTGATCTAGGTAGTTCAGTAGACTATGTGAATGCATACAGGCTATACATAGTGTACCTATCAAGTTTTAGTATGTGTGATCAGGAATGCTGCAACAAAAAAATGGTTGCCCAAATCTGCGGACCAGCCTTCACTTGTACAGGTTGTTCACATGGTCTACACAGAGTAAGTAGACTGGGAAAAAGGGCACCTCTCAGTAGCAGTCAGCACACCATGTGCATTCAGTTACCTTTTACTGATCTGGCAGCAAAGGTGAAATTGATTTTGCCTTCAGGCTGGTCGGTCTTACCTGTTAAACAAATCCTGCGTAGCTGACCTGCCTATGACTGTCTGCAAGACTCTTCCCCACTGGAGGAAGGCTATCTTTTCCATATAGAGTCGATTCCATGTTGTTGCTTTTGACTTGGAACTTGATGGGGCAATCCTGCAAAGGCTGGGGAAATAGTTTATTTGATCACTGAGTGACAACCTGTAGTTATTGGTGGTCTTCTGTTTTGTCAGGTATTCTTGAGAAGCCATTGGAGAAGAAATCAGGAAGAAACTTTGGCCCTCCTGGAACCAAGAAACTTATTTACTTCATAGATGATATGAACATGCCAGAAGTTGACAAATATGGTACTGTTGCACCTCATACCTTGATCCGGCAGCACATGGACCATGGGCACTGGTATGAATGTAGCTTGACTGTGACCACTGATTAACTTGCATATTTATATCGCATAACAGAGTCATAAGGGCCCAGAGGTAATCTTACACAGAGTGTGTGTGAACACTTTCAGGGGGACTCTCATGTTCAATACTAGAAATGTACTTTTTGGTAAAATAGTTTGGTAGTCATAGGTCAACACAAAAGTGAATGATACATTTTATTTACATTTGTAATTAAACAGCACACATTTTGGTGTGACAGCATAACTGGAGGTATAGTTACACTTTTTGTAATGCAGCCTTGAGCAGTGCTAATAATGATAGAACCTTTTGGGGAGATCAATCATCCACAGCGTCACCACTAAGTCAGAGGCAACTTGATGGTACTTAACCACAAATGACACATGTTTCTGCCTTCACTTCCTGTTCCATGTTGCTCAGATCCGCATGCCAAGCTCAGTGTGTTTGTGTGTGTCATCACTGGATACAAGCATAATATTACCACTACCCATTCTGTAGGGCACTTGTGTACAGATAATCAGGCACACACAAACACAGAGTATCATGTGCCTGGCTATCTGTGCACAAGTGCACTACATGTACCGTTGCTTCAGGAATTGTACATTCTGAATAACAAGAAACTCCTATTTTATAGAATGAGATAATTTACAACAAATAATATAAGATGTCTGGCTCCTGGTTTTTGATTCTGTATCATTCATATGGGAGAAACTATGTTGAATGGTGTGAAACCAGTGCCCTCAGCGATTTAGAAATTCAAATAAAATCAAAAGAAAACAAAATCCTTTCTTCTCTCCTCTCATCTCCCATGAAATTTATGGGAATAGCTACTGTATAGGAATTAGTCTCTGTAGGAACTAGTTCCATTGGATTAGCCCAACAGTTTTGAGCCGGCATATCACATCACATCAGAGCATTAGGAGAAGCAATCTGTTCCATTAAAGGAAGCAGTCATGTTTTGCTGTCTTTGTAAATGTGTGTACAAGATAGAAGCTTTCCTATGTGTAAATGACTACTAGGAGAGGCTTTTTGTCATAATTTAGTTTCTGAAAAGTCCTTCTCTTGCTTCTTGCTCTTAGGTATGACAGAACCAAGCTGACACTAAAGGATATTCACAACTGCCAATATGTGGCCTGTATGAACCCAACATCTGGATCTTTCACTATTGACTCCAGACTGCAGGTAGACATCAGACCTATTACAAGAGTTTAAGTTGGAAGCAGGAGAGCTAAGCTTGGCAGGCTATACTGGCTTTGATTAGAAAGTCAAAATATGTTGTTAGATTAAAAAGATACATTCTGTCACCACAAAATGTCATAAGTGAATGGCTTACTGTAAATGTTTTTGTTGTAGCGTCACTTCTGTGTGTTTGCGGTGAGTTTTCCAGGGCAGGATGCCCTTATGACCATCTACAGCACTATCCTGTCTCAGCACTTGGCCCTCCGAAATGTCCCAATGGTCGTCCAGAAGTCTCATTCACAGCTTGTTTCTGCAGCTCTGGGTAAGCCTTGCATAAAGCCCCATGCACTGTGACAGACGTTTCTTTTACTTTTTAACCTTCTGTATTTTATCAACACTTGTATCCTGCAAAATACTTAGGTAAAATCCAGATTTAGGGGTCTTTCAACAAGGAGTTTTCTAGGAAATTGAATTTCCACACCCTTCACTCTAAAATGCATTTTCAGTGGGAGAAGAACTCTTCTCTTGGACACCTGAGCTACTGGAATTTAGAAGTCTCTCCGGAGGAGATAAGGCAAATGTCCATGGTGGTTTCCAAACCAGCTTCTTTAGCCTTATTCAGCTGTGCTTCAAAATATGTAGAGCTTTTCCAGGGAGTATAATCATGCAGAGAAATGAATCACAATTTGGACTGATGACATATGGTGAAATGTGCTCCAGCCTAAGTCCAGCCTTTTTTTAGTCCAGCTGTAGGGTTACTGCTTTCTGGGGCTGGGCTGATTTCCTGGCAAACAGAAAAGTCACTCTAAGGTAGACTGCCCTCGTTGAAGCAATTATTTCCAGCCTTCTGATCATACCATTACACAGAGAGGTTACCCAGGTACAGTTGCATCCCCCTCTTGAGAAAGTCATGTGTCTTTGGTTAAAGGGAAGATTGGGGGGGGGGCTTGGCTTGCAAATGAACACAGCTTTTCTCGAAATTGCCATTATTTGCTCATTCACTTCTTTTGAAGGATTCAGATTTGGTCCTTGTGCAATTTTAGATTCCTTTTTATCATAGTGTCACCTGGACTCCTGCACTGAATTGTAGAGTGGCTTTTGCACAACATCATTCTTCACATATAACTATCCATTGTTTTTCCACTGTCTCATATTTCTTATTTCACTACACAGAAAATCTGATAAGGTGTGGAAAATCTTCTTAGGGCCTTCCAGTTGCCAGTGTGAGGAACCCTCCAGCTGAAAATGTTCCTTGGAGTCAAGTGTTTTCTATGTTGCCTTCCAGTGACTTTTCAGATCTGGCTTGTAGTGACTTCTTAAAATAAAATGATAACACAACAACTTGTTCAGTGAGGACAAACAAAGAGCTGTAAAGCTTTTTCAGAGTTTTATGCCTTCACTTAAAAATTTCTAGTGTCCAGATTCAGTCTGATTCGTTCCTTCTTCTTGATCCTGGCTAGTATTAGCCATAAATGGCCTATTATAGCCCTGTAGAAGTATTTGGCTGTACACAAATAGGATTAAACTTGCAAGTAGGCAAATGGAGGCAAGTGGTGTGGGTGTACTTACCCGCTGTGACCCCCATGTCTCTGTGTGCTTTTAGGTTGTCCCACTTTCTCCATGAAGAGCTGAGAAGGGCTCTCGAACCATGGTTTGATACATGAAAGTCACAAAGCTCCCATGATCAGAAAGGTTGCTGGATTTCCAATCATGGGAGTTCTGTGAGCATGTTCCACTAAGTAATGTTGCAAAGACCTTTCCTGATTTTTGCACAAAATGGGTGAATATCTAAATGGCAGTCAGGTGCACAGGGATATTTCAGTTAGGCAAAGAAGTCATGTATGCCTTTTCATATATATGTGTGTGTGCGCTGTGTTTCCCCACAACAGCTCTACATCAGAAAATAACATCAACCTTCCTTCCAACGGCCATAAAATTTCACTATGTTTTCAATCTCCGGGATCTCTCTAACATCTTCCAGGTATAATGTTCACTATTGTTATTCTAGCTGTACTTCTGGGTGAATCTCCTGCTTCTTTGAATGAAAATAATCAAAGCAGAGCACATCTCACTACTGGTTCTTAAAACCATTCAATGTATATGCGCTTACAATATGGCCAGCCTAGGAAATGAGAAAGAGAAAAATTCCCTTTCTGCAATCCTACCCATGTAGTTTCAATTCGGAAGGGAATAGCAGTGGAGTTTGCCTGAAGACTGATGGCCTGTATTAGCTAAGCTGATTTTACCTTGAATTTGGATCACTAGGATGGGGGTAAAGAAATGCTGGAACTACTGACTTCATTGCATAGTTTCAAGGTTCATGTGCTACATCATTGACATCCAGTGGTTGGCCCATGTAGTTATTCCTAGCTTGCAACTTACTCAGGAAATGATAAGAAAAGCCCTTGAATGTAGGATGCATTCGCAACCCAAGTCTCTTTCTTCAGCAGCCCACCTCCAGAGAACTTCTGTCTAATCTCCTTATCCTTCGATATAGGATGGGGAATGCCCCATGCATTCACAACCCAAGTCTCTTACTTCAGCAGCCCACCTCCGGAGAACTTCTGTCTAATCTCCTTATCCTTCTCTCCTTTCCTGATGTATGTAAACAAATAATGAAACAAACCCATTGGCAGTGTAACCAAACTGCTGCTCAGCTTAAACACATGAAATACATGTATAAAACATACACCAAGTTGCCAAAACAGCAGTGGTGGGGGAAAAAAACCCAGCTCAGACCAGGAAAAACAAAACACAGTTCATCTGTGTCACTTTGAATTAAGAAGAGCAGGTTAGGACATTTCATTGTGATGCTGGGACACTTCACAGAGTGGCTGCATTGCCAATATATTGTTGCTGTGTAGGAGCAATCCATTCAATAAAATGAATGGCCATTGGGCTCCTGTGAGTTATTGTAGGATGACAAACATAACAGAAGTTCCACCTCCCTATATACACACACATGCAGCTTATTCTTCTTTCTCCCTTTTTCTTCTTCAAATTTCTATCCAGTCTGCCTTACTGCTCCATGGAGGGTCCAGTCACTCTGACATGGTGACTCAAAATACAAAGTGGTCTCACTGTGATTACTAATCCATCACACTTCCAAATCTGTCCTCTTCAAGATATGACGGCCATAGCAATGTAGTGCTAGAATCTTCTCTCTTGTGCCAGTAGCTTTCAATACTCAAGCAGTAGGCTTTCCTTTCCTCTCCTCATCTGAGTGAGCAGCCACTGGAGGAAGCAGGAAAGGGAAGCATGCTTTGACCGGGTAATAGGTGAGTGTGCAAAGGAGGCAGGATAGGGAATTGTGCGGCATGCACAAAACACCTGTGTGGGTGCTGCAGTGAAGTGAGCCAAACCACCAAATGGCAGTTTGTGTCCGTCTCTAGGAAAGAATGAAAGAAACTGCCATAGCAGAGACAGTGAAGATATGCTAAATAAGACATGGCACTTTAAAGCAGTGATTCCCAACCTTTGGTAACTCAGGTGTTCTTAGACTACAACTCCCAGAAACTCTAGCCAGCACACCTGGTGGTGAAAGCTTCTGAAAATTGTACTCCAAGAACACCTGGGTTACTCAGGGTTGGGAATCACTGCTTTAAAGCATTGTGTTACCATGAACAAGCTCTTATGTCGCTGTGCTTGCTGAATTCCCACACCCTTTGACAGGGACTGCTGTTCTCCACACACGAGTGCCTGAAAATCCCTTCAGATCTGGTCCGACTCTGGCTGCATGAAGCAGAGAGGGTTTACTGTGACAAACTTGTGGAAGAAAAAGATCAAGAAAGCTTTGGGCGAGTCATGATGGCTACTTGCAAGAAATTCTTTGAGGTAACCCTGCCTTTGGCCACCACCTTCATTTCTTTTCCAGTCAATGTTCTAGATTACAGGATAGGATGTCTGGATCTTTTTTGTTTTGTTAGTAGAAGTATGGCTACTGAACCATGTACAAGAAGACACTGATTTTGAAACTTTGCACATATTCACGTGTGTGTGTTTCAATGAAAAATCAGGAAGATTTGTCATTGTTGCCTGGCTTGTAGATCAAAGAGCCCAACATGCATCTGCCAGCTTTCTAGCCAATTTTCTCCAGGTTCTCATGTCCAGATTGGCTCTCTAAAGTGGCAGTTGGACCACAACGATGATTTTGAACAAAGTGTTGATAATTCAATTACAGAACAGATATGTAGATGCATGACTGACTGATGGGTCACTCACTGGCTTAAATACACACTTCATCTTGAAGTTTGTCATTCTGATGAACTGGATTTTAAAAAAATCACACCGTTTATGGAAGCTGTATTTGTACTTCCTGCAGGATCTGCCTGACAATATTGTCTTTGCAAAGCCCAACGTTTTTTGCCACTTTGCTCAAGGCATTGGAGATCCAAAGTATCTACCTGTTTCCAACATTCAGTCTCTGAATAAGTTGCTTGTAGAAGCCCTGGACAGCTACAACGAGGTCAATGCAGTGATGAGTTTGGTGAGTCAGAGTCACAGGGAAGGTGCCGCCATCCCCATATGGGATGCCCTCCATATGGGTTGGATCGACACTTCTGTTATCTCCATCCAGCATGTCTTAGATATATTTTATTTTATTTGACTTGTTTAAAATATATTTACTCCATCTTTCTCCCCAAAAAGATAGGAGTCGTATTCCGACAGGTCTGGAGAGTTCTGGATTGAAAAAGACTGATGTTGACTCCCTTTTTCTTATTTGTCTTCCCACCTTTTATGTATGTGCCTGCCTTGTACCAACAGCTTTCTCTTTGCATTTTTCTGCTTACTACCCTATGTTGACTCTTGTTTTGAACATGCAGTATACATTTATTTCATTGCCGGTGAATTTTGGCACAGACCATCCCTCTTCTTCTGCCTCTTCTTCTACATTCTTTATTTCCACAAAATGATACTCTGTTTCCCTGAAAATAAACCTAACCTGAAAACAAGCCCTAAAATGATTTTTCAGGATGCTCGTAATATAAACCCTACCCCAAAAATAAGCCCCAGTGAAGTAAAAACCCGCTCTCCACCATGGTGCAGTGTTGTCTCTTGTTTTGATCATGCAGTATACATTTATTTCATTGCTGGTGAATTTTGGCACAGACCATCCTTCTTCCCCTGCCTCTTCTGTATTCTTTATTTCCACAAAATGATACCCTGTTTCCCTGAAAATAACCCGCTCTCCACCATGGTGCAGCAACCAGAAAATGACATGACTGTAAAATAAAACATCCCCTGAAAATAAGCCCTACTGCGTTTTTGGAGGAAAAATTAATATAAGACCCTGTCTTATTTTCGGGGAAACACGGTATGTTAAGAAGGAGAGGAGAGAATATCTGTGCAGCACCTTTTGGTTGTTAGTACAGTGGGGTCTTGACTTGAGAACTTAATCCGTATTGGAAGGCGGTTCTCAAGTCAAAAAGTCTGTAAGTCAAGTCTCCATTGACCTACAGTGCATTGAAAACCGATTAATCCCGTAACAGGCCGTTTTTGTTCCATTTTGGGTTTTTTCTGGTCTGTAAGTCAAATCTCAGTCTCCAAGTCAAACCTAAATTTTGCGGCCAGAGAAGTCTGTAACTCAAAAAGTCTGTAAGTCAAGGGTCCACTGTACTAGGATACGGCTGTCTGGAAGCCCTCTCTGTTGGGCTATGCAGTGTTTTCATAACTGTAATGGTAGTCTTTGCTGAACTGAAGAGTGTTCACAGTGGTTCAGGTTCAAGAGTAAACAAAAAGTAGAAAGGAAAGTCCGAGTAGACTAAGTGGGGGAGAAAAGGAAATCCCCAATAAGGATGGAGATGGCAGAGCAGTCAGGATAATGGGCATAGTCAAATATTTGTCCCAAATGAGAGTTTGGCCATAACGATATGCCTGCAAGTGTTCTGGGGTATTGTTGAAACACTATTTTTCATTACCAGAATGCTGGAGCACATAGAAAGGGCACTGTATTAAGCATGCATTCCAAATCTAGCTTCTGTTAATAAAAAGATATGCATGCTAAAACTGACTGCAACAGATGCTAACATCAGACTTTGGGCCTATGCCATTTTGGTTGTGGTTTGTACTCTTCCCTAAGCCCTTCTTGTCTCTCACAGGTGCTGTTTGAGGATGCTGTGTCTCATGTCTGCAGGATCAATCGTATCTTAGAGGCTCCCAGAGGGAATGCCTTGCTAGTGGGGGTAGGAGGCAGTGGCAAGCAAAGCCTGTCTAGACTGGCAGCCTACATCAGCTCCCTGGATGTGTTCCAGATCACACTCAAGAAAGGCTATGGAATTCCAGACCTCAAGGTGAAGAGGAAAGGGGTTTTTCTCTCAAGAAGCCAATTTGGGAGAAACAGTAGAAGAAAACTAGCAATTGTACCAAATATCTGATCCTCTTTTTGTATGGTAAACTAATTTTCACCAAATATTATTGTCTGAGGATGAAGGCACTGAATTGGGACAACTCAGTGGTTTAGACTGAGGACCCTGCTACAGGGCCAAGCCTCAGGGAGTGGGAGCTTGAATTTGTGAGGCAAGGAGGTGACGTTGGGCCCCATTCCCTGTATGTCTTTGGATAAGCTGCAGGTACAGTCCCAACATGCCACTAAAAGAAAGACCACCTGACAAACCAATATGTAATTGTTATGATGGACCTTGTGTGCTCACGATGAATGACTTTCAACATGCAGTAAGCCGGAGCTGTGGCAGAGAACCAGTAATATCTAGCTTTTAAGTAAGAAAATGCAACAGACTCAATGCATTGCAGCTATCTGTTGAGGCAGAGAAAATGAGTGATATTCTGCCAGAAGACTGGGTGAGGAAGCAAATGTGGGGTCAGTGGATGAGTGGGGGTGTTCTAGTTCAAGGCTGTGGCACTCAGGTCAATTTTGCAGCACCTTAGCATCCCTTGGATCTCCTCACCCACCACTTCTTGAAATGTACTTAAATTCATTTTTGCTCAAAGGGTTCCCTTATGCAATGTAGAGGGTATTGTGGCATTCTGACAATATTTTGAGGGGACTCTAGGTCTCTGAGTCTACTCCTGAGTATCCCATGCTCCCTCCCCCAAAATATTTATTTAAAACTGTTAAGCTGCTAAAGGAAACCAGGATATTTTTTCCTGTTAAATAGCCCTCTCTTTAAAAAAAATGAAACCAATTTTTCAATTAGTGAAAAAGTAGCTATCTACATAATTACTGCACAACAATTTGTCTGTGCGTCCTCATATGAGCCTGTGCATGTGTGTGCAGATTAGTCTCTTTGGCTGCACCTCTCCCTTTAGCCTCTCCCTCTTGGGAGTGTAGCCTTTGGGCTGCCAGGAAATCTGAAATCTACCCATAAGCCAGCTCCTATTCCAGCCTAGCAAAAATTATTGGTATAGATTTCAAGCTTTCAAGGCAGAAGTAGACCAGACAGCAGTTTCATAATTAAAAACAGAACTTCCTTAATATTTGCTTTTCCTGCCACAATTTCTGCAGCTCTGAAAGTTGCAAATTAGCTTGGTTTTGTCTGGTGGCTGGTCACTGAGTAATAAATGCCAGATCAATTTACTAGATGATTACACAGACATGAACGCTTTGAAGCAATGCATATTTGGGGAATAACATTTAATCACCTTCTGATTAAGAAGCTGCCGTCTCCTCTTGACTATTTCTGCTCTGGCTCATTTGCTTTTTGAGAACATAGGACAGTATCTTATAACCTTGTCTATAGAAAGTTGTTTTTTTTAAATATGCACAAAGTGATTGAATGAATGTTGATAGCATCCATAGAATTCAAAACGTTTTTTATGTTTCATGATAAATGCTGATTCCTATTTCAAGTGTTACTTTTTTGCACTCTGAGCATGCAGTCAACATTTGTACAATTATCTCACTAGGCTGTACAGTATGGTCAGATGGCAGGAGAGTCACAGATGGCCCCTCCATAGTACAGCCGCAAAACTTGTGAAGACAGGCTCATGGCACGGTGATCTGAAGAATCCCTTTCTGAAAATAAAGCACATTGCTCTATTTGTCCACAGAGACACATCAGTGATTCACATAAAGGCAGTTTTTTTTCACATAGTGAAAAGAAAGAGCATTTCCTTGCAAAAGCTTGGTGTGATAGAAGGATATTTTTTGTGCACGCTTCTGCTGATATATTGGTCTTTCTGCTCCAGATTGTAGTCTGAGGTTCAGGCAGCAGCTGCGTAGTGATATGCCAGATAGATGAAAGTGCTTGGGGTGGCTTTGATGACACAAATCATTTTTACTTCTGATGGCAGCTTTATTGTGGGGTGGCTTATGGTCTGAGCAGGTTGGGATTCACCCAATCCCCATACTTTGGACTGTGTCCTCCCCATCTAGTCAGACATCACGTAGTCTATGTTTTATAGTAGCTCTTCTGTTTCCCAAAACATCTGATCTGATGACACCAATCCATATGCCTTATGACCCTGAGCAACAGACAGAGGAAGCCTTCTGGGGAAATTTCAGTCATGTTAGTCTGGTTTGGAAGTACATGAGTGGCACCTAGTGATCACCAGGAAATACACAAGTTTGTTTTTATTCCATGCACTTACATTGATGGCTCTTTGGAAATACAGTCATGGTCCTGAACATTAGCATTTGGCCCGTATTTTATAATAGCAAGGTTTCCTCTCTCCAATACTAGATTCAGGAACGTTTAGAAAGAGTAACTCTGTAGACCAATAACTGGTCTATAAGAAACTGACAAATATCTTGTCTTGTTCAGGCTGACCTTGCTGCTCAGTACATCAAATCTGCTGTGAAGAACACACCCACTGTGTTTCTGATGACAGACTCGCAGGTTGCTGAAGAGCAGTTTTTGGTTCTGATCAATGACCTCTTGGCATCTGGTGAAATCCCAGGGTTATTCCAGGATGACGAAGTGGAAAATATTATTGGCTCCATGAGGCCACAAGTAAAATCTCTCGGCATGCAAGACACAAGGGAAAACTGCTGGAAATTCTTCATTGACAAAGTCCGGAGGCAACTGAAGGTAGGATACCCTTGCATATTAGGCTGGTCCCAGATGCCTTTGTAGGTAGGACATGGAATGTATTAATGTGTGGTTCTGTGTGTTCTGACTGCAGGACCAACCCTGTCAAATAGTCCAGTGAAACAGTCTGTTTCAGGTGGCATGGTGGGTGTTACTGGATGATAAATGAGGACAGGAACTGTTGTCTGAATGTGCAGCATTAGGCCTTCCAGCAAGGGAGAAGTTCTAAAATGATAGGTAAAACAATGCTGGAGAGTTGCAACATAAATATAGCTATGCCCCATCTGCAGTGTCTTTAGTGACAAGCCTAAATTACAAAAGGAATGATTTCTAGAGGAGTCTGAAATGCAGCTATGTCTACACAAATATGGTAAACCAAACATCTATTCAGCAAAGTTTACAGTTAAAAATTTTAGTGTCTGCATTCAGCTTTGGAGCTAGGTTGCTGCTACTGTAATACCTGAGAAGACACCCTCCTCTAGATTTCCTGTGATGAGTCACCAAGTGCAGATCAATCAAAAAGTCCACCTTTGTGTCTCTGTACTCTGCTCTTCCACAGACCAGCTCAGCAGAGGTAAAATACTGAAAGTTGGCTGGCAGGGTGGCTTGTTTGTTTCTAAATATTTATATCACACTGGACTTGGGAGGATCACTACTCTGGGTAGTCATACAGTATCAAATAAATCCCAACCCCCTTTTCTCCTTCCCATCATAATGGAAAATATAATGGAAAATCTTCTTGTGCTTTGAGGAAAGGATGAGCCGGGAGACACAGGATTTATAAGCCTTTAGATGTGGAAGAGAAAATGTCTTCTTAACTCACACACAGGATGGTGTGTTCCTTTCCTGTTGCTCCAGGTAATTCTGTGCTTTTCTCCTGTGGGGTCTACCCTCCGAATACGGGCAAGAAAGTTTCCAGCTGTCGTGAACTGCACGGCCATTGACTGGTTTCATGAATGGCCAGAAGATGCATTGGTGTCTGTCAGTGCAAGGTTTCTAGAAGAGACGGAAGGAATAGAGGTGGGGCTGCACTTCTAACAGTGTGATTGTGTCTCCCAGCACTATGGTTTGATCAAACCACACATTCTCTTATTTAATATGCTGGCCTGGAACGTTGGCTAAAGCTTTTGGTTCTGATCAATGACCTCTTGGCAAAAGCCAAAGTAGACTTTTACACAGTAGATTTGTGCCAAAAAAAGCAGTAGCCAAAAAGCAACAGGCTACCTCTAAAAAGGGGTAGTATGGATCATTCTAAGTCAAAATGCACATGCCCAGTTTCATATAATGTTGCCTTGCAAACCCGTGGAAAGTTGAGAGAACATTGCTAAAAGCCCAGCATTACAAATCTTTGCCTGGAGCTTTTGCTCTTTAGGAAAGACTTGCTGCTTGCCATTTATTTTAATTCTGACATGTGAAGTAGATAAAAAGCAGTTCTGGAAGTCCAACGCCACTGAGTCCCATTTTGTTTGTTGAGATAAATTAACATCAATGTCCCCTTGACACTCGTTAATGCTATTGTTCACCAACAGAGCCTGCATATCTTCATACCCTTTAGTATCATGCTTTTCTTTTTTTTAAAGTAAATTAAACATTAATAGGTTCTGTATTATACAGCAGAGCTCATGTTTCATGTTTGAACAAAGGTAATTTCTGTGTCCAAACTCTCAGAACCTATGCTGGATTGTAGAAGAATTCCAGTAATATTTGTTTAGCTACAACATACTAAGTTTCCACATTAAATCAGGTGCTAAATATACAGTACGCTCTGAGGAGGCAAGAGCTTACATTTCCTGATTTGAACTTTGCGAGTTCCAGTAACTGGAGCTGTAAAGTTAGGGTTAAACTAGACAAAACACAGTAGTTGTGTTTAGAAATGGTCTGTTAATTGTTTGTCACAGCACATGAGTTCCCACCCCTCTTATATATCATACATTCTCATGAGCTTTGCTTTGTGATTGGCCACTGGAAGCTAAACATAAGGTGGTTCTCTGTGACCTCTGTGAATGCACACAAATACGTTTTACTGCACCTGCACAGGACTTCTCAGAGTATTCTAGAGCTTTAAAAAACATGATTATCATTCTTACAAACTTTTCACTCCGGCTCCAGAGAGCTCCCATCTTCCTCAGCTGCTGCTTCTTTCTGCTCTCAGGCACCAGCTCAGCAGCATAAACAACCTTTCCAACAACCTGCAAGAAAGAATAAGCAATATCTTTGACTTGATCCGCCTGAATCTGTTCTCTGACTGTCCCTATCATCTCCGTCTGACTCCCTTTCTCATCAAGTGGTCCATTATCACCAGGGATTCTTGGGTACTCTCTATCATACAACGCAGCTACCTGTTAGAATTCACTGACTGTCTCCGACATACAACTTATTTGCCTGTTCTAGAGGATGAAATTTCCCTTCTCATCCAGAAATATGCTATCCAACAAGTACTGCCCAAGATGTTCTAAAGCAGTGGTGTCCAACCTTGGCCCTCCAGATGTTCTTGGACATTAACTCCCAGAAATCCTGGCCAGCAGAGGTGGTGGTGAAGGCTTCTGGGAGCTGTAGTCTAAGAACATCTAGAGGGCCAAGGTTGGACACCACTGTTCTAAAGGGTTTCTATTCTCAGTACTTTACTGTCCCCAAATGCCATAGAGGCCTTCACCCCATCAATCCAAATCACTTTTTCATGGTCACCTTGGTATCCATTATCCCACTGCTTTCTCCAGATGATTGGTTTGTGGTCGTAGACCTACAAAATGAATATTTCCATATCTCCATTCATGAACCTTCAATTCAAATACCTTCATTTCCTCTTCATGGACAGAGCTTACTAATTCTGTGCCCTCCCCTTCGGGATATCCACCACTCCAAGAACTTTCACTAAGTGTATGGCTCCTGTGGCTGCCTATCTTTGTCTGCACAACATCACGGTCTTTACGTATATAGACGATTGGTTGACAGTAGCAGGGTCATACTCTGCAGCCTGAAGGGACTCTGCCTTTGTTCTTCAGACTCTGGCAGAACTCGATTTGCAAGTCAATTTCAAGAAGTCCAATCTCTAACCATAACAGATATAGACTACATCAGGGAGCATCTTGATTCGACCAAGGCCAGAGTTTTTTTCCCTCATGAACGGATATCCAAATTGACGAGAGCTATTCGCCATTTACAACCTCATGCCATGGTTTCTGCTCAGCACACACATCTTGTAGGCTGGATGGCCTCAACCACTTCTGTGCTCCAACTTGCGAGTCTCAAGATGTAATCTTTGCAGGCCTGGTTCCTGTCCCTGTTTGACCCCTGGTTAGATCATTCTTCAAAACGTCTTCTGTCACTCTGGAGTTACTAGCTTGCCAGCTCACTTGGTGGACCTTCATCCTGCATCTCCTTGTAGGCCATCCTTTTCGACCTCCTCAACTGATTATGCAGGTCACAATGGATGCCAGCCCAATAGGATGGGGCGCACACTGTGGCGATCATGAAATTCATGCTGTATGGTCCAACTCGGTATAGCTACTGCATCTCAACCACCTAGAAATACTAGCAGTCCTCAAGGCTTTCCAAGATTTCCACCTCCTCATAGCTGGTCACGGAGTCCAGGTTACCACAGACAATATGACCACTCTGTATTATATAAAGAAACAGGGGGGTGTTCACTCACTGGCTCTTCTATACCTCACAAAATCCAGCTATGGGAATGGTGCTACAACTGCCACATCTTCCCTGTGGCTATTCATATATCTACAGAGGACAACGCAGTTGCCGACCATTTGAGCCATCTGACCACCCAAATCCATGAGTGGGTTCTCGACGGCTCTACCTTCCACCATGTCTGCAACCAATGGGGAACACCAGGTCTCAACGTTTTTGCCACCCAGACCAACTCAAATTGCAGCAACTCCTGCTCTCAAGCAGGACGTGGTGTGAATTCCTTAGGCAACGTCTTCATGGTAGACTGGGGTGATGTCCTCCTCTACCTTCCCCCCCCCCATTCCTCTTATCCGACAGACAATAGTCAAGCTTCACCAGCTGCGAGCACCATGATGGCCTCGACAACCCTGGTTTACTCCTCTCAGGGCCATGGCGGCCAAAGTCCTGAGACTGCCTCTTCCGCCACACCTGCTGACTCAGAACGAGGGGCCAGCTTTGTCACCCCAACGTGGAATCTTTATACCTCATGGCAAAATCCCCCTGCCATAGCAAAGGTACTGGACAAAGCTAGGAAACTCTCTACTAAATTGTTGTATTCCTATAAGTGGAATGTTTTCTCTAGATTTGTTGCATCAAGAGGTTTATCGACAGTTCCTGTTTTCGCTGGATACCCTCTTCTTTATTTTTATTTTATTTATTTATTTTTGGACCAGTTCCTGTTTTCGCTGGATACCCTCCTCTTGTTTCTTTGTCACCTGCTTGATCAAGGTTTGGCCCATTCCACCTTGAAAGTTTATATTTCTGCAATAATATCGTATCAATCTATAGGATCTGAGGCAGGTCTCTCGTCTATTTTCCCATCCAACTCTCAAGATGTTTCTTTAGAGGCTTGCGGAACATTCGCCCACCTGTGCGACCTCCACTCTCTCAGTGGTCCCTCCAAGTTGTTCTCCATGCTCTCACTCGCCCTCCTTTTGAGGCCATGGCTTTGACACATCTCAAACTTCTCTCTCTCGAAACTCTTTTTCTTGTAGCTATAATGTCTGCACATTGAGCAAGCGAGCTGGCTGCCCTTCTGGCTGACACTCCTTATATTCAGTTTTATCCAGACAAAGTTGTCTTGTACCCAGACATCACCTTCCCCCTAAAGTGATTTCAGATTTCCATGTTAATCAGCCTTTGATTCTTCCGATGTTGTTTCCTTCTCTCTCTCCTGATGTTGAGTGCATGCGCCACTCCCTTGATGTTTGTCGCGCTTTAGCATTTTATTTTTCCAGGACTAAGGATTTTTGCACTTCTCCCAGACTCTTCGTGTGCTTCCATGTCCCACGGAGAGGTTCTCCAGCCTCTTCACAGACAGTCTCAAGGTGGATTGTCTCTGCCATTATTTGGCTTATGACTTGGCAGGCAAGGCTCCGCCAGAGGTGCTAAAAGCGCACTCTACAAGAGCAGTGGCCACTTCCACTGCCTGGCTGCATGGTGTTGAAGTCCCTGACATTTGTCAAGCAGCCACTTGGTCAATTCCCTCGGCTTTCATGACGCATTGCCGACTGGACATCAGGGCCAAGAAAGAAGCGAGTTTCAGGAGGACTATGTTGACTTCATTGTTGGTGTGATGGCCCTCCTTCCAGTAAGTGAGCTTGCTAGTCACCCATTTGAGTGAATTCACAAAGGCCACAAAGAAGAAAGAGAGGTTACTTACCTGTAACCATAGTTCTTCGAGTGGTCCTCTGTGAATCCACACATCCTGCCCATCCTCCCCGCTGTCCACCACTTAGTATCCTGAGCTTTGTTTTGGTCAGAGCTTTGACAGCGGCGGACATTTTCGGAACTGAGGTATTACGGGCAGACGGAGCATGTGTGCCATGGGGCAATGTCCTACTAATCACGTCTTTTTAAGCTCTAGAATATTCCAAGAAGTCCTGCGCAAAGGTCATCATACAGGGCGACCAAGGCAGTCTCCGTGCCAAAACCCGGCCTGAAACCCGATTGAAATGGATCCAGAAAATCCGTTTCATCCAGCAGTGCCTGGAGTTGCCCAGCCTCAACCCGCTCCAACACTTTGCCCAAATAAGGGAGGTTCGCTACTGGTCGGTAGTTGACCACCAGCCTTGGGTCCAGGTTAGGCTTTTTAAGGAGTGGTCGAATTACCGCCTCTTTCAAGGCAGTAGGGACCACTCCCTCTTTCAAAGAGGCGTTAACGGCCTCCTGGACACAGGTGCGAACCCCCCTGGCTGATCTTCCAATTAGCCAGGATGGGCAAGGGTCAAGTGAAGTGGAGGTAGAATGGACAGATCCAAGCAACCTGTCCACATTCTCAGGTCTCAACAATTGAAACTCATCCATTAATACGTGACCTAAGCACGGCGCACTGGACACATCCTCTGATTCTGCAGTAACTGTGGAGTCCAACCTACTGCGAATCTGAGCAATTTCCCCCTCAAAATGGATGGCAAACTCATCACAACGAGCTGATGAGCAGTCCGGAACCTCCACCAGATTTCCCGGTTGAAGAAGATCCCGGACCACCCGAAACAGCTCTGCTGGACGACATTCTGAGGAAGCAATACGGCTGGAGAAATATTGCCATTTCGCCAGCTGTATTGCCACGAAATAGGCCTGATAATGGGCTCTAAGTCGTGTTCGCTCAGAATCCCAGCGGGACTTCCTCCACCTGCGCTCCAGCCGTCTCCCCTCTCGCTTCATCGCCCGCAGTTCAGGAGTATACCAAGGAGCTGTCTGGGCTCGGCGAGCAGGGAGAGGATGCTTAGGCGCAATCGTGTCAACTGCCCGGGTCATCTCCCTATTCCATAGGGTGACCTGAGCTTCGACAGGAGCGCCGACCATATCAGACGGATAATCCCCCAGAGCATTCAGGAATCCATCTGGATCCATTAGTCTCCGAGGGCGGATCATCTTAATAGATCCCCCACCCTTGCAGAGGGAAGAAGACGCTAATAGACTGAACTTGACCAGGAAGTGGTCTGACCATGACAATGGGGTCACGACCAGCCCCTCCACATCCAAACCACCATCTTCCAGTCCCGTTGAGAAAACCAGGTCCAAGGTGTGGCCCTTCTCATGCGTCGGACCGATGACACATTGAGACAGCCCCATGGTTGTCATGGTGGCCATGAAGTCCTGAGCCGCCCCAGTCAAGGCAGCCTCGGCATGGATGTTGAAGTCCCCCAGCACCAACAGCCTGGGAGTCCTCAACATCAGGTCCGAGACTACCTCTGTCAGCTCAGGCAGGGAGACTGTTGGTACGCAGCAGGGTGGGCGGTACACCAACAGAATCCCTAACCTGTCTCGCGAGCCCAACACACAATACAGGCCCTCGAGACCTCCTCTCAAAGGGACAGGAAGCCTGGTCAAGGAGATAGAACTCCTATAGACTATAGCAACTCCCCCTCCCCGACCCTCCGAGCGACCCTGGTGCTGGACTGAGTACCCAGGCGGACATAGCTGGGAGAGGGGAACACCACCCTCCTCTCCCACCCAGGTCTCAGTAATGCACGCCAGGTCAGACCCCTCATCCAGAATTACATCATGGATGAGGGCAGTTTTATTTTGTACTGACCTGGCGTTCATCAACAGCACCGTGTGGCTTGAGGGTTTGCTGATATGGTCACCTGATACCATCTGGTTGGAGGTAGGACTTGAAGAGGGGATAGATGTAAGATATCTAACCTCTCTTTTCCTATGCGGGCATGTTCTAGCCCCACCGCTATTCCTTCCCCTACCCAGGACCAACTCAATGGCTGCCCCCTCCAATACCCTCCCCCCTTCCTGTTCCCTAAAATCCACTGTGGGTCTCTTCTTAATTGATGGCAATTAATTACAATTTAAAATAAATGTAAAATATATATAAAATAAAATCTAAAGTCCCTTCTCTTCCCCCCCCAGCCATGTGGCTCATGTTAATATGAAGATTAATTACGTACAACGGCAATGTGGCAATGCACATAAATCTGTGATGATTATATGTTGTTTTATAAGAGGTTAATTGGTATCTTTTGGTCTGTCTTGTAGGCTGATGTTAAGACCTCCATCAGTTTATTTATGGCCTTTGTTCACAAAACTGTCAATGAAATGTCCAAAGTGTACTTGGCCACTGAAAGGCGCTATAATTATACTACTCCAAAGACCTTCCTGGAACAGATCAAACTTTACCAGAACCTGCTTGCTAAAAAAAGAAGGGAGCTAATTGCCAAAATTGAGAGGCTAGAAAATGGTTTGATGAAACTCCAAAGTACTGCCTCACAGGTATGTGTATGAATGAATAAACAGCATTAGCTGTACCATAGTGACGATCATTTCAAAAGCTCTAGCTGGGTTCTTTTGGCAAATACTTACTGAAAAACAAATGAGGATTTGTGAACAGGGTAACTGTTCTGTATTTTGTGTAGTCTTGAAATTCTAATCTGGAATACAGGGTACCCCAAGTTTACTTAATTCCCAGCACCCAATATTTTCTTGCAGACACTCCTTCCTTCCAGAAGCTGAATTATTTATACACCAGTGAAAGTTTTTGTCCAGCTGAGCAACCACTGCATGTTCTAAACACACTTGATCCATTGTCTAGCACTCCCCAGAAGTAACATACTAACTGAAATTTTATGTGAATATGGATGTGCATGTACTTTTTTCTATGTATTAAAAAAAACCATACCAGCTTTTTCTACCTAAACATGGCAGTGAACAAAATTAGAGAGAAAGGGTCTGGAGATACTTTCCTCTCTACGTATTTTGCAGCTCAGAAGCACTCTCCTCAAGCTGCTTTTTCAACCTTGGAAGAGAAGCTCCCTGTAGCTTTCTAGTATCTGGGTTTCTCATGAAAACAGTTGAGGGGCAAGTTGCTTCTCCATGTCTACCTTTTCCCCCAAATCACTATGCTCCCCAGCTCACAGCTTACCTAGGCCAATGTATGATATTTTTTAAAAAGGGATGGGGTGTACATAATGTGTAGTTTAAGAGAGTCAGAACTATCAGTAATTTTTATTCATGTGAAGCACCTATGTTATGTGCCAAAGTTCCAAATTATGGCAACTTTATGAATTAATTACCTGTAAAAGTCTTGCAAGGCCACAACTCTTTTACGGAGCAATCCATCTCATCTTCTATCTTCCTTTTTTCTTGCTGTCTTCAACTTTTCCCAGCATTATGGTCTTTTCTAGTGGACCTTGTCTTCTCATGATATGTGCAAAAATACCCTCAACTTCTAGAAAGAGTTCAGAAATAATTTGTTGTAGAATCCACTTACTTGTCTTTCTAACAGTCCATGGTATCTATAAAGCTTTTTCAAAACCATGTATCAAGTCAATCTATTATTTTTGTGTCAGATTTCTTCAATATCCAGCTTTCATATCTGTACATAGTAATAAAAAAATATTGTGGTGTGAATAATCTCAGCCTTGGTCTCTGCCAATACATGTTTACACTGCAAGAGCTTTGCTAGTTCTTTTGCAGCTGCCCTTCTCAGTCGTAGCCTCTCAATTGCTTGGCTGCAGTCTCAGTTTGGATCGATGACTGAACCAAGGTATAAGAAAATCTTTAATTATGTTAATTTCTTTATCATCAACGTTAAAGTCATGTAATTCTTATGTAGTCATTACTTTTTGTCTTCTTAATATTCAGCTATAATATTGTTTTGCAGTAGTCATTTCAAGTGTTTGCTATTTTCTGCCAGTAATATGGTGTCATCTGCAGTTCTTAAATTGTTGATAATTCTTCCACCAATGTACACTATTCCTTGTCCAAATGTGAGCTAGCTGTGAAATAGATATATATTCTTCATATAAATGAAAAAGTTATTGAAATGAAATACAAAATGTTCCCAACTGTAACCCTTCTTTCTCCTATGGTGGAGGGTGACAACTTTACCTTGAGTTGACCCTCCCACTTGCTCTAAGAGACGGGACTTTTTACATCCGTCATTTTGTCGTGTGATCACCCTCTAGGTCGTGGGGACAGCCCAACCTTCCAGTATAGTCCCTGCCTCCACTTCAATAGGTCATCAACCAAGCAACCTCCTGACTCAGCTCACAGATAGTTCTCTGTCTTTTTCTCCTTAAAAAGGAAAAACAATACGCACACAATTAAAAAACACACATCCTGCAGTTTATTCTATCCCCAGCCTTCTGCTTCTCTATCCTTTCTCCTTCCTCTGCATCCATACTGCGAAAAAGCTTTATTCTAACCTATAAAAGGAGCCTTGTGGCACAGTGGTTAAACTACAGTATTGCAGCCAAAACTCTGCTCACAACCTGGGTTCAATCCTAGGTAGCTGCCTCGAGGTTCACTCGCCTTCCAAGGTCAAACTGAATGCAGTATCCAGCTTGCGGGGGGGGGGGCAATGTGTAGCCTGCATAATTAAATTGTAAACTACCCAGAGAGTGCTTTAAGCGTTACGGGTCGCTATATAAGCAGCATGTTTTGTATGCTTTATAAAACACGAATGTATTTTCTTAAATTATTTTATATGCTCCAATAGCTGACTTATATTTGCAATTTGCTTTGTAATGCCCCCTCTTTTTCTGAATCCAGCGTGACCATCCAGCATGTTTCACTCTCTACAAGGTGAAGAAACTTTTTATAGAAAAAACTTTGCTGTAAAAGTTCAGGCATCATTTTGCTTCCATGGAAAAAATAATGTGATGATCCAATAGCTACTGTACATTTGGGATAGAAGTGTATATGGACTGTTCCCATTCTGTGACCCATTATTTTATTTTCCATATATGAAAGCATATTCTTGTTGAAATGTTGATAAATCCAGGTTTTGTAGCTTGAAATAGCTCTATTGATTTCCCATCTGCTTTTGGTGATTTATTTCTTCCAAGTAATTTAAGAGTAGCTTTCACATTGTTTTCTAAAACTGCAGATTCTTCATCAAAATAATATTTTTCAAAGGAATCTGTCATCCCTGTATTTCTCCTGCATATTTCTTTGTATATTGTTTTCACATTCTCTTTACTTTGTCTTACTTAGGTAGTATTTTCCCCTGTTGATTTTTCAGCATCCATATTCTAGATTTGAATCTTGTTGACTTAGCTACAGTATTACGGAAAAGAACTTTTTTTGGAACTCTCTTCTCGTTCTTAGAAATTATTGTTCTTTTTCTTTGTATGTGCATACATTTAGGATTCTGACCCTGTGCCTGTCATTCCTTCCTTTTGCTTTTAATATGTCGTTTACAATTTTAAGGATCTACTTAGTCATCTACTGAGTATTTTCTTTTAATTACAATCTGTTTGCATTTCTCGCTGGTGACATGTCTGGTTTCAGTTCTTCTAGTTCATGGCCAATCACATTTAACAGTACAAATCTGTTCTATACAAGATCTTTAAATTATTTTGGAGTGTTGTTTGAATTGTACTTTGTCACTATGATTGCAGCCTTGAGGAACCCATCTGAGTTACAGCCATGTAGGGACCCGATTTGAAGTCCAAATTTGGGCCTTGCTGGAATCTGAGCAGCCATGCAAGAACCCACTTTGGACTATGATTGTCAAGCTGAGACAAGGAAGGTTCACTTTCCTGCCTGTATCATCTCTCCAAAGTTCACTCCCCCCCCCCAAATATGTCCTTAGTTGCAGAGCAGAAGAAAACATAGGAGTGAAAGCTAGTACTGTATAGCTAATCAGAGTCTGTAATGCACACAAGACAGACCATGTCTTACTGCTCATTCATGTAAGGTGTGTGGCTCAGGTTGATGTGGATTGGAGCTATGATCCCCTAGATCTAGAATGTCTCACTTGAACCATCCATACCTCTTTTGATTTTTCCTTGAATGTAATCCAAGCCGAGCCTCCACACTATAAGATGTCCTCTTTCTTCTTCTTCCAACACTCCCCTTCTTCCTTCTCATGCCATATCCATTCACAGACCTGTCTCCACTCTTTGGAAAGGAGCCCTGCCCTTTTATGGACAATGACAGAGGGGGAAATTCCTCCCAAAACTCAGATGGAAAGAAAGATGTAGGATACATGGAAGTAGACCTTAGAGCAATTGATTCTTTTTTTTTCCTTGCAGGATGAAATTTTGTGTTATATTAATCCCGCAGGCATGAAGTAAAGGACAAAAAGTAGCTGTGCTGGGGAGAAAAATCCCCAGCACAGCTACTTTTTGCCCTTTGCTTCATCAGAGAGGTAGCCCTGATTTGTGCTGAGGACAAAACTCCCACAGATGACACCACAACTGATGCCAGGGGCATTCTAATTGTAGGTACACACACCCAGAGCTCCCCACCCCCCAGCCACAAACCCAGGATTGTTTGATACAAAGGAACAGTTTGGGATAATAGATCTGGAAGCTACTAGGCTACACAACAAAACAAGTTCCCAAATGAGGGAAAGTAATCAAGAAGCAGAAGGAAAGAGGAAAGGACTAATTCAAGTCTTTACTAATGCCATGCAGATTTGTTAAAGTATTCCAAATCAATGGGCAACCGAATCACAGCTTAAATAAGAGCAAACACTAAGTGTGGATTTGCAATGAGATTTTTCTTAGTTGCTCCATCTGATCTGGAGAATGTGGCAGGGGTGCTTAAGGTGATCTCTCTAACAGGAGGACAAGATTTATTGCATATACAGTATATGTTTTTTTCTTTATTTTTGTACACCAACTAACAATGTTTAAGACAATGTGGGTTTCTTTATTTTATAAAAGTTTACTGAGTGTTAGCTATGTTAAATTTTTATCCATGAAATGTTTTTAGACAGAGAAGTTTCACTTGGGGGGGACAAAAGTTTCACACACTCACACACTTGCTTAAATGTTTGCGCACAGTTTTCTGCTTTTCCCCTGATTTGCGTTCTTGGTACTCCCCCCCCCCTTTGAAGTAAAGGGTTCTCTCTGAAGTTATCCACACAGTCAAGGATGAGATAGACAGCATGTTGATGTCATGCCATCTCACGGCTAGACAGAAGCAAGTCTTTACCACAATGACAACTGCAGACAAGCAACAGCAGAAAGCAAATCAGTCAGGGGAAGTGGATTATTTTTGCTTATCCTGATTGTACGGAGACTGCTAAATTTTATTGTATGATGTTATGAGACCAAATCAGTGTGAAATCAATGCATACTACCCACATTCTCAATGGGCAAAATATTTGTTAGGTCTGTGGAAATGTCACCAAACAGGACAATGAATTTCACTTTGTATGTGTGCGCTTGTGTGAGTGAATAAGAGAGACAGTGAGAGGTGAATCTTGTCAAACACAAACACACACATTGTTTTGGCTCATCTTTAGAAGGTTCTTCCCA